CTAATTAAAACTTGGTATTTCCTTCAATCATTTAAAAATATTATTCCAAGAAGGGGTTCATAGGCTTCATTCATCAGGCTGACAGAGAGAACCATAATATAACAAAGACTGAGAACCCAGAGTCTCTGTGTCATGTATACATACAGTATGGGATTATCCGGCCAATGTTGTAGGCCTAAGGGTGACCTGAAGGCTGGAGATGCTGTCAGCCCTGCTCATATACAAGGTTCCTGCCCTGACAGCTCAGGCAAGGCTGGGATGAGGATCAAAGATCAGGCAGCAAGGCTTCAGGATACAGGAGCAGCTGTGTGGGGGATGGAAAGAAGGGAAATGCTGACTGTTGGAGCTGGCTAAGAAGAAACCCACCAACATGGGAATCTTGCTTGTGTGAATGTGTGTCTGTGTGTGTGCTTTAGTAGATGTCAAATAATGCCAATACCTCACATTTGTGTTAACATTTAGCAATTTTCAACAGGCTTTCTCATTTGCTTCTCACTCTACTCCTTGGAGTTGGAGGTTAGGCAAGGCCAGAATAATTATTTACATTTTATAGATGAGAAAATTGAGGTCCAGAAAAATTAAAGTGACTTTGCCGGGGTTAGAGAAGTAGAACCCAGAGCTCCTACCACTTTGCCTCATTACCAACTTAAGCTATTTAGGGAAAAGAAAAGCTCTGGTCTCATTCCAGGGGCATTTGAACTCTGGTCTAACATGGCTCTGCTCTTTGCTCCCAAATGGGACCTGCCTGTATCTTTTCTAATGCTTTCAACCCTTGTCTGGTGATTTCTAATGCCTGTGGTCTCCTACTGGCCTCCTTCTGCTGGCCTGAGAAACAGCAGCCTTAGCCACTGACATAGAGATGGGCCCTTGTGGACCCATTTGGGGTACAAGAGGGCCCTAGGCATGTTCTGAAGGATATTCCTTTTTCTGAAGGAAATAAGACTAAACTTAATGAGGTCTCATTGAGTGTGAGCATATCGCTTGTTCCATGCTTCTTTGAGGGGCTAAAAGCAAGTAGATAAGGTCCTCCCAGACCTCTGGCCTATGGGCAAAAGAATTAAAAACCTGAGGGAATTGTCCTTGTCCAGAGACTCTTGCTACATCATTTTTCTGCCCAACCAAGCCTTATTCTAGGCACCAGCTTTCTGAACCTAAGAGAGATCCAAGATGGCACCCATGGGATGTAATAAGCCTAGCCCAAAGGGTTAATCTGAGGCTTTGGGAGGTGGTTGAAAAATGGGAGTCCATGGAATTGCTACAGCTGGTTTGAAGGCAGTGGGAGCCTCAGCCAGTCTTGGCAGATAGCTCTGCATAATTCCCTGCAGATGTTGGTGGAGGAGGGTTTCAGGAATGAGTTGGGAGAGAGTCCGTGTCTGTGTCTGTGTAGGCGGGAAGCTGGACTGGTGGGGGAGGAATAGACCGAGCCTTGTGCTGGTCCAGGGCAACTTCAGCTGTTGGCGGTATTTCTCTTTCATGTTCTTGCTCAGATGTGTGATTTTTCTAACACCTCACCGTGTCAGATAAGCCAGGAGTGAGGAAGGGAGGAAGCAGGGCAGTGGCCCCCACTGAGTTCCTTCCTCACAAGCTTGTCAGTAAATAGAGAGAGGGCCCTGCCTAATGTTGAGTAGTGGAGAGCCGGCTTCCCTTCCCCAATTCTAACCACTGGCTGGTGGACCCTGCAGAGCAATGCCAGGCAAGGTAGCCAGCCAGGGGAGGGTAGCTTTTGGGACCCAACTCCTAGTCAGAGCTGGTCTAGGAAATTCATAATTGAAGTCCTGTCATACAATGATAGGATGTCAGAATTGGAAGGAACCCATGAGAATGTCTTACAGATGAGGAAACTGTCCCAGAGAGGGGGGACCTAGCTTTTCTAAGGTCACACAATCAGTGACAGAACTGGGGTTAGAACCCAAAGCTCCTGACTTCATTTCTACCATATTGTGAATCCTTTGCAGAGTTGAAATCAGATGCCTGTGAAGCTTCTCTAGAAATTGGAAATTCCCAGGAAATAAACCAAGGCTCCGCATTGTCCCATTCATGCCCTTCATCTCAGCCCTATATAAGCATCTGCCATAGAGCAACAATGAGAGAAAGAGGAGGTGGGCCATGCCCTGAGGAAAGGTTGATCTTTACCCAGTAACCCCACTAGATTAGAATTTCATTGTGTCTTACCTAGTAAGACAGCCCCAAAGCCAAATTCTTTGTGTGGCATCATGGAGAGAACCTTTTGCTGGGAGTTAGGAGCCCTGTGTCCTAGTCCTGTTTCTGCTGTTTGCTAGCTGGGTGACCCTGAGCGACGAGCTACCTCCTTTGTCTTCCTCTCAGTTATCTCACCTGAAAAGGACAGGGCAGCACTAGATTGGGGAGTCTTAACTGGGGGTCCACAGACCCTCCCGAGGGATCTGTAGACAGATTTCAGGGGGCTTATTAACTTAGGGAAAAATACATCTCTATTTTCACTAACCTTTGGTTTCCTTTGTAATCTTATGTGTTTTGTTTTACATTTTAAAAGGTTATTTTGAGAAAGGTCCATAGGCTCCACCAGATTGCCAAAGGCATCCATAACACCCCCCAAAAAAAATTAAAGTCCTTTCCTTAAAGTTCTTCGCTGACTTCTTTTGGTTCTGTGATCTTCATTATTTTCACAACCACCACATGGGGTAGGACTGGGGAGGGGGGAGAAGGTTCTGGACAAGACAAGGCCTAGAGAAGGTGGGCAGCATCCTTCAGAGAGCATGGCAAGTTAGCAAGATAGCTGAGACAGCCTCAAAATCCCCAACTCACCTAATCCATTCCTTGGCGTAACTGTGAAACTGATTCCCAAGACACCTTCTTAAGGACCATGGGACACAAAAGCCCTCCCGTTGAGAATTGGTCCTGATACTGGGGCCTGCAGCTCCAAGTGGAAGGCCAACGCATAAGAGATATATGCTACTTAACATATGTCCCTGGTGGGAACTCTGGCTTTTAACCCACAAAGACCTTGTTGGAGCAGTAACTAAATGGTGAAAGAAATATTCATGCTAACACAGCCCAGGCCTGGGGAAAGCCACATAGCCTGATTTCTGTTTTGTTAACAGCATCTTCCATTTATAATATTCTTTAAAGCTTAGGAAGTGCATTCCTCACAACAACCTTGGGAGTAGGTAGTATCAGTATTGTGCTACCCAGTTACACAGCAGATCTTTTAGAGGCAAAGGGGATTTGCCTGTGAACACAGAGCTAGCAGCAGAGCTTTGTTTGGAACCAGGTACCTCCTGACCCTTTTACATTACATCATGCTGCCTCTCATAGTAGACACAGATATTTTGGTAATGTGTGGGAGGCCCATCCTTGGAGCAAAGAAGAGGTTCAAACTCCAAATATCCTATTTGAAGGAGGGGGAAAAAAACCACAGCTGGTCTTTTAGGAGTTCTTCAAACACAGGGAGCCCTAAAGGTTTTTGCTGCCTTTATCTCTCCATGAGTAGTCACCAAGCACTTGTTGGCCTCCTTTCCCCTGTCCCCAACCATGGCTCCTAGAATATCTGATTTCCAGCTCTTCCCAGATCTGCTTCTGACTTTCTTTGCAACTCTCTCTCTTCCCATGTGTTCTCTTTGTTGCTCCTTAAAAATTGGAGCCATGAATGAGGAGCTGTTCTCAGTAACTTGGCTAAGGGCCAGCCCTCTGTGGCCGCTGCCATCGGTGGACGTCACAGCCAGAAAATCTGCCTTCTGGTGTGGAGGGGAGGGGTATTACTTTCTTACTAAATTTAAACTCCTGGGTGGTGAGTGACTGAAGGGGCTAGTTCCAGATTTCTATTGGGCCAGAGAACATTTGCCCAAACAGGAATGGTTCACCAGGAACTAGTGTCAGTCAGGAGTAGAAAAAAGGAAGTCTCCATGGATAGTTCTAAGACTGATCCCCCATTACCAACTCTTCTCCCAAGTTCCCCCTGCCCATCACTCTCTGTGTTAGGCCCATTTTGACTCAAGCCACTCACCTGTCTATAATGTACTCTTTCTCCTACCCCACTGTAATCAGAACCCATCTGTCCTTCAAGCCGCAGGACAAGGACTATCTCCTCCAGGAAGCTTTCCTTGACCATCCAAGCCCACACTAATGTCTCTGGCCTCCAAGCTCCTACAGCACTTATAATTAAGCACTTGATTGTATGCTATTGTGTGTTATATATCCTGGCTCCTACCTTTATAACTGAGTGACTATAAGCAAATCACTGAGCATGTCTGGGCTTCACTTTCCTCAACTGTCCAGTAAGAGGATTGGACTCTAAGGCTCCTTCCGCCTCTAAATCTGTGATCCTGACTTCCAAGCCCTTGTCCAGGCTAGCCCATTTGTTCGAGAGAACTTAGCCATTCTCTAGCATTCCCTACCTGTTTATTCCAGCTCATGTCCACCTCGTCCAGGAAACCTTCCTAGATTAACTCCAAGCATGTTCCAAATGCTGGCTCCCTCAGCACACTTGAATAATTATCATACAGTAAAAACCTCTCTAATTCAGCCTTTCTCAGTTGAGAATCCATGATAATTTGTTCTCAACAGGGTTGTTGTAAGGATGATGTTTTGTAAACTGTAAGGCACTATATAAATGCAAATTATCATCATTATCCAAAAATATCTCAGAAAGGACCCTGAACCTAGTTGGGAGAGGGTCTGCATTTTTGTTTGGATTTTGGTCCAGACATGTGATTTCATAGTTTAGGAAACTGAAGTGTGGAAGCTCTTTCTACTGATGCAAGTAGGCTTCAGGCCTCAAAGATTTGCCTGGGGTCTAGAGAAATTCACCAACCCACCCAGAGGTAGCTTAGACTCCTCCTATCTTCCTGACTCTAAGGCCAACACTGTCTACTACACTGTGGCACCTCTTCTGTCTGTAGTTCATTGTCTGAATCCCAGCTTTCTTGGCCCCTATTCCCTCCTCTCTCACTGTCTCCTCCCCAGCTGCTGTTGTGTGAGCTGTCACCCTCATGATTTTGGCTTCTGTCATGTCATTCCTCCAGGTTGGTGGTTTGTGAGCACATCTGAAGAGCAAGGTTGGGTCCCAGCCACATACCTAGAATCCCAGAATGGTACTCGGGATGACTCAGAGATCAACACCTCCAAAGCTGGGGAAGGTAAGGCAAGGCTGGGAGAAGGAAGGGGTGAGGAATGGGCCTATCTCTGAGGATTTGGGTCCTCAGGAATTGACATCCTTCTCAGAAGAAGCTGAACTTGGTGTCTCTGGGCAGTTCCAGTCTCCATCACAGAAACGCAGCCAGACTTCAGCCTTTACTGAATAAAACCAATCTGAATCTACCTGCTGGCCAAGGCCCCATTGAAAGAAAATGGGCCATTTCTGTGTGCCTCCCCCACCTCTACCTGACTATTGCAGTGGGACTGCTGCTGTCCTTCGAAACTTTTGCCAATTCCTGTCTTTCCTGACCAGCCTCTACATGCTCTCAGTACCATCTCCTTTTTAGATGTCCCCGAGTGTCAGACAGACTTTAAGGATAGAGTGGAGATCCTCTGAGATCCCGTGGTCATTACCACATATATAGATGAGAGAGATGACCTTGAGACTGTCTTCCCATGATCTCACCTTCCCCACAGGCCTTGAACCATCCTTTTCAGAATCTTCTCCCTTTATTCTTTCCTACCTGGTCTGGCTACCTTCAGTATTTTTTTCTTCCACTCTTCTTCCTCTTTGATGGAAACCATGCCCTCCCCAAACTTCCTGGCTGGTGAACCTTACACCCTCCCCTGAATTCCTGTGAAATTCACATTACTCCACAGTGGCTGTGAACCAGAGCCAGACACTCCTTCTTTGCATGGCTTCGTTGTTTCCCCTAATGCTAGAACCAGCAGATCCTGAGAAAGGAATCCAAGAGAATGTTCTTTTTACCCTAGTGCTGCCTGCCTGCCACGTGGACAGCTGCTGGGTATGTGGGCAAGAAAGTGTGTGTGTGTGTGTGTGTATGAATGTGTGTGTCTTATGTGTGTGTGCACACGTGCTTTTTGTTGCGAATTAGTTTTGCTTTGCTCGGAAGCATCTGGCATGAGCCACCATGGAAAGGCCAGATACAAAGATGGCTAACCAGCCTAGATGAGGCTTTTCTTGGTCTACTCTGGGAACTTCATGTTTAGTAAAATTATAGCTTCTTGGTTTAGCTTTGGCTGGTTGAGATCTAGGCCTACAGAAAGCTCTGTCTGAATCTTTCTTCTTCAGTTTCAAAGAGATTCTTCCACACAGTTCAGTCCTATCCTGAACAACTTCTCAATACAGCTTGGGGCTTCCTCAGAGAATTCCCAGTGGGACCCAATGAGCCTTTTAACTGAAGAGAGCCTGTACTAATGGGGTCATTCCCCCACCCTCAGCTCCCAGCTGGGCCTCTGTTCCTAATGACTTCCAAATGGCCCATGTCTTGACAATGGGAAAAACTTTTTGGACAAATGATATAGCCCAGATGAGAGAGTCTGAGATGGAGATGGAGAGCTGCCATTGAGGGCCCCTTCCTAGGACTGTTCTGTACCAACGGTTTCTTCTAGTAGAAAGGTTACAGAGCTAGGGAGTGACCTTGCTCCTGGACCAATGAAAGTGGTCTATAAACCTCAACTCCAACTTTTGGGGGTTTTTTTAGATTTCTTATTCATCCTTCTCTAAATGTCAGTTACAGGGTGGGCCCCTACAGCCCTTCATTCTCCTGCCCTTCCTCCCAACGTGAAACTCTTCGTTTTTTTCTCCTGATCTAACTTCCCCAAACTCTGGCTTCTGGAGATTCAGCTTCCAGGAATGGGACAGGCTCAGGAAGGTCAGGCATGCTCAGGTTCATATGGCATCCTTTTTCCCAGGGCTCTCTCTTGGTCCTGGCCCTGCCCACATCTTCCTGCTCCTGGGGTTGGTGGTTATGAGTCACTGAGCTGGCTGTGGTCTCACATTTGTTTGCACCAGTGTCTTGCTCCTGATGGGTTCCTCAAGGACCTTTCTCTAAGAGGAGAGCCCCCTCATTATTGTACAGGTTGGAACAATATTCCTGACTGGCAGTACTACCCCACATAACAAAAGCCCAACCTATCAGTCCTATCAGTCAAACAAATCTTTAGTGAGCAACTGCCACCTGTACATCCCTGTGGGGAAGAGAGTAGGAAAGGACTCAGCCCCTGTCCTTAGGGCCAACAATCTAATTGGGAAGACATGACTAACATACAAAGAAACTAGAAAACGGCAGCAGGATAGTGTCTGCTTAGTGCTAGGTGAGTGGCACACCTAGGAAAGATTATAAGAGGTCTGGGGGAAAGAAAGTATCTATGTCCAGGACTCATCAGGAAAGGTTTCAAGAAGGAAATAGGGGATCAGCAGGGCCTTGAAAAACTGGGGAGTAGGAGCTGGATCAGCAGAGTGGAGGGAAGATAGCATTCCAGGTGTGGGGTGTAAATGAAGCCACTCATATAGTACAGGCAGAGAATGAAAAGGCTACTGTCCTGGCTGAAGCAGAGGCTTTGTTTTAGATGTGAGTTGGGGAAAGAAAGTTAAACAGGTCACATAAGGCCCAACTATGGCAGGCCTTGTGTACCAAGGAGGAGATTGATGGGGGGTTGGAATTGTTGGAATAGATTCTTGAGAAGGAAGCAACATGATGAAAGCAGTGATTAAGGAGGATGAGTCTGATGGAATTTGTGGGTCTGGTATAATGTGAGGAAACTAGCAGGTAGATCCAATGTGTGTGTGTGTGTGTGTGTGTGTGTGTGTGTGAGAGAGAGAGAGAGAGAGAGAGAGAGAGAGAGAGAGAGAGAGAGTGAGAGAAATATGACTCTAAAGTGGCCAGTGTCACATCACATTGAATGAGACCTGGGAATTTAGTACTTATGCCATGGGTATCTACCTTTCTCTGCATCTGCTAGCTAAGCTTGAAGAATTCACAGATTCCAAGTTAAGAACCTCTAGTCCGAGCAACCCTCCATTTTATAGAAAAGAAAACTGAGTCCCAGAGAAGGCAAGCAATTTACCCAAAGTCACAGGTCTTTGCCACAGGTTTGTGGTAAAGTCAAGACTAGGTTTCAGGCCATCTGACTCTTGAGTCCAACGCTTCTTCCACTAGTAAAGGGTTGACCAACCCGACCTTGCCCAGGGTAGATGTTCCCTTCTAAGGCAGATGTTTTCCAGAAAGCCAAATGTTTTTGTTTGTTTGTTTACCACGTAAAGCCAAAGTTTTCCATTGGCCATAAGCAGTCCTGTAGCAGTGCCTGGGAATAATAATAATAATAATAATAAATTCTCCCCTTTTAATTTAAAGATTTATAAAGTATGATCTTCACAACAGGATAGTAAAGATGATGCTCACAAATATTATTATCTTCATTTTTGAATGGAGGAAACTGAGGCTCAGAGATGTTCATCAGTTATTAAGCAAGCCATATACTAAGTGGCTACTATGTACCTAGCAGTGTGCTAGGTGCTGAAGATACAGAGGCAAAAATGGAAACAACCTCTTCCTTCAAGAAGCTTACTTCTATTAAGGAAAACAATAGTGTGCAGAGAGAGAGATACAAAATGTATATACAGAGTAAATGAAAGGTAATTTTGAGGAGGAGACACACTAGCAGCCAGCACTAGAGAAACGGGGGAGGTTAGGACATGGTCATATTGAAAGTAGTGCTGATGCTGAATTTTGGAGGAAGGTAAGGATTCTGAGAGGTAGAGGTGAGAGGCATGAAGGCCAAGGCAAAGGGATGCAGATGGGAGATGGGATATTGTGTGTGAGGAATGTGTCCACTTTTACCAGGTAGTAAGTGTTGAACCCAAGTCTCCTGACACCTGGACTGGTGTTCTACCTACCACTCCATACCATTTTGACTCCTTCTGGGAGTGATCTAGTTGTTCTGAGTTTGCCCATGCCCATGCCTCATGGCAAAGCCCAGGGTGAAACAAAACTGGGGACTATAAACCCAGTGGCACCTGAGCAAAAACTCATTCCAAAGAATAGAGTACATGATGAACAATGCTGGGGTAGGGGTGGGGTAGCAGGATTTCAGGGTTGTCTCTCACTTTACTACAGGAAAACGTCAGATTCACTGGAGTGTGTGGCCCAAGGAAATTTAATTAAGGTGGTGCGGAAGCTCTGAACCATGTCCTGTGAGCTTCAGTTGAAAGAAGTGGAGAGCAGCTAGTCAGAAGAGAGTGCTTTGGGGTGTTGGGGTGGCAGAGATATATATCTGAAGAAGTATCTCCTGCAATAGGGATCAAGTTTATTCTATGTGATCCCAGGGGGCAGCACTCTGACCAGTGGGATTGGGTTCCTGGGAATGTCTTCTAATTAGTACTGCAAGGAAGAACTATTTAACAGTTAGTGTCCAATAATGAGGTAGGCTGCTTGATGTGAGATCATTAATTTCTTATCACTGAAGGTCTTGAAGCAGACTCAGAGAGAGAAGTTGGTCTAGATGACCTCAAAGTCCCTTCCGACTCTAAAATCCTTTTCATTCGTCTGCCCCTTAATCCTCTTATCTGTGAAATCCTCCCCCATATGGGACTATGGGAGGACTGAAGCCTCGGCACATCTCAACTTAACTCCTACCATATATCCCGTGACTTCCCAGCCTTTCCACCCCTCCATCTAGAGGTTTTTATGTTGGGTACCTTCCTTGTGTTAGCCTTGTCCTTTAGCCATACTGTGGAGGAGAAAATCTGGTCGCTTCTGTGAGAAGACCATGACTTATCAAATCAACGATTCAATCAATCAACAAGCATTTATTAAGGACTTACATATGACAATCACTATGCTGAGTGCTCTAAATGCAAAGAAAGATAAATACATGGTACCTGTTCTCAAGAAATTTATATTCTAGTGAGGGACACATCATGTAAATAAATATATACATACAAAATACATACAGAATAGATGGAAAGTAATCTCAAGAAGGAAGGCTCTGTCCTAAAATTTTGTACGTACACTTTCCCCACTCCCAAGTACCCAGTATAGCATTTCAAACACCTTAGACTCTTAATTAACATTTGTTGTCCCTGGTCTTGGGGAGCTGACTGTAGTGGAGAGGACAAGATTTGGAGGCATGAAACATTTAAAAAATAGTGCGCAAGTTCTGATTTAGAAACTGTGGGCCCCTGGGCAAATCCCTTTAC